CCTTACCAAGCTTTTTCCACTAGATAAAGATTCCGATGGAGGACAGAAACTTATATTCAGCAGAGGACACTACCAACATAGTTCACAAAAGAAACAATTTAGATTTATCAGGACCAAAAATTAGCTCAAGTATAGCTCTGTATGACCATTCACCAATTTTTTTTTTCTTAAGAGGGTATTCTTGCAATAGCACCAGATTACAGCGATTGAAGCTAACAACCATAACAGGAGCAGTAAATGACTAACAACATATATTACCTGCTGAAAGTTTGTTATTGGGTTCCCCTGCCCAGCACTTGATCTTGATTCTGATAGGAAAGCAAGTGAAGATGCAACCAACTTCTCAGCCTAAAAAGAAACGTAAGGAAATGATAACAGACTTGGAACCAAGTCCTGCAAGAACATTGCTGGACGTATAAAGGATAAGCACCTCCATATAACCTATAGACAATCGCAAAGCATAGTCAGCAGCAACATGTTGCCTCTGTGTACCACTAACTGCATCATGATGTTGAGCAATTGCCAAAGCATCAGCTAGTGCATCAAGTTTGAATCCTGAATTATTCTTGCCTCTAAAGAATTCTAATTGCCTAGCTGCCTGTTCGAAATAAAGCAAGGAACAGAACAAGCAGTGAAAAAGCTTAACAAATTTTTTTCTCAAGTCAATTTGTAAAGAATGATAGGAAAAAACGAACACCAAAATTTTAGGATCTTACCAGATAGTAACCACTCAGCATTCTTACATATCTTTTGAAGGCTGGCCGGCTTGAGAAATATCCTGTCCAGTATGCATTTGGTTTATCTGCATACCTGAACATCACATAACAATTACAACCAAGGTTTAAATTTTTTAAAATGGATATTCGAGGTTAAAATATTCACAAGTAGAGAATCACACTTCATCTTTAAACTCACGGAAAAAAATCATCAGTCTTGAGGGGCCAATGTTCATTCATTGCATATTTTGCATCAGTATAAATTGATGGTGTTGAATATAGAGCATTCACGCGTCCATCCTATGAGTTCACATAAATCAATATTAGTAACTTCAGAATTCAATTAGAGTTCTAAAGTACTATAATAAAATAATAAAATAAAATATGTAAATCAGACTTCTTCCAAGCTCATAGCAGAAAGGAGAAATTACAAAAATATGATTACCTGATTGACATAGTGAATAAATTTGTCCATCTGTCTGAACCAAGAATTTGCATATTGATAACGAAAGTCTGTCCCCATGGTCCACATGATATGATTTGTCCTGGTAACATTAGCCTTAAAAAAAGAAAAGACAGTTCAACATCTGAATCTCAGCTGGAAAAGAAATTTGTTTATTGTGAACAAATTGGAAAACACAATAAAAAGATGACGCAAGTAAAACTCTACCTCATGATGCTACAAAGATACGCGTCAAAGCTAAAAGTTATCCATGCCTAATATTTACAGATTAATATGTAGGGTATTTATCATTTGCACATGTAAGATAAACAATTCTTATAAACCACATGAGTCTTCATTTCATAAATCAACTTATGATATGATTCTGCCTCTCTCTATTTTTTCTTCTGTTTCCTAACAACCAGTAGTTGGAGAGCAACACAAGATTCAATTGATAAAATAACCATTCTAGGTTTTACCTGTGCCATGGCAGCAGCTACAAAGTCATTGACCCGCTCTTGCACATTATAGTCAAATAAGAGGATGTCGTCCTTCAATATGAAATTTCATGTATGAATAAGAGAACCAACATCAAAATCAAATGTCGAAATATCCTTTCTGGTGTTACCTGAATAGGAGGGGAGACATCATTTATTTCAAATACAAAACCATCAGGAGGATCATAATGTCTGGGGAATATACCAGTGAATATCTGCAAGGGAAAGTAAGAAAACAAGGTCAGATTAGTGCAGAATAGGAAGAACAGAAAGTGGGCTTGTTCCAATAATAAGAGATATTTATGTAATTGTAATATATTATTAAGGTAATTAGTTTACTTAGGAATTATTAATTATAGGCTGATTATTAATTTGGGTTTATTATTTCATATTTGATTAAAATGCTATTTAGTTATTTTTCTATTATAAGTTAGTCAATTATTTAGTTTATTTTCTTATTTTCTAGATTTTCTACCTTGCTTGTATTTTAGTGTATATAAATAAGGTATTCTAACTCACTCATTAGGTAGATCATTCATGATTATTATTCAAATATTGATCTATTGTTTTGATTATTGAGATCTGAGATTATCAAGTTTTGGAAGTTCGTATTTAGGAAAGGAAATGAGAAAAGAATAACAAGATTGATAACGGCTTTTAATGTCCAAAACAGAGAGGACAATAAACTTAATAACTATCCATGCATAGAATAACTTAACATAGAAAACATAATGATAATCTATTATGCAGTCAGAAAGGAAGAAAGGAAAAGAAAATACAGCCATCGACACCTAACCTGTGAAGATGAACCAAGGGACTTGGAACCTTGCCAAACAACCTCCAAAGTCTTCTCTTTCAATCGCTTAGCTCGATCTTGGTAATCAATTCGAGCAAAAATAGAGAATCAAATCCCAACTACAAATCAATTGAAGCATCAAAAGGTCAAGGATCAATAGGCAATTAGTATTAACTGACTAAATATCAACCCGGAAGACTCCTTGAACCATTATATAAAGTCAAACAAATTCAGGAATTGCCAACTTTTATTTAGAAATC